TATCGATATCAATAAATATTAACGATCCCCATCCCTATGAAGGACACACTGCTGATAAAAGCAGCAGCACTATAATGGTGTCAGAGTTGGAGTTTAATGCCATCTTAGGCTCCAAAGACGAGAATATCTCAGCACTTCAGCAGGAAAATGCCTCATTAAGAGAAGAAGTGATGAAGCTGACTCAGAAAATAGAAATGCAGCAAACCAATCATGAAGATGAGGTCGCTGTTCTGTATGATGAGCGCATTAAGACAAACAAAGACCGCCGAGATGCCATCAGAAAGGCCGACCAGCTCAAAGTATTTCTCATTACTGAGAAGAACAAAACAAAGGAGGCTGAGATCTGCTTGGCCAAGCAGATGGAAGAAACATCTAGATTACAAGCTGCTCTGGCCAAGATGGAGACAGATATGGAGGAACAAAGACAGCAGTGGGAGCAGGAAAAATGCTGCCTCCTGACCAGTAAGTCTGATCCCTCTGCGGTGGAAAAGCTGAAATATCAACTGGAGACGCAGAAGGTCACTCATGAAGAACAGGTCGCTGCTCTGAATCATCAGCTGAGCAAGAGAAACAAGGACCTGCAAGATGCCATCAAAAGAGCTGAACAGCTGGAAGAAACCCTGATTAAAGAGAAAAGCCAAGCAAAAGAGGCTCAGGATCGCTTTGCCCAGAAAAATGAGGCAACGTCCAGACTACAAGCTGCTCTGGCCAAGATGGAGAGAGCTTTGGCGGAGCAGCGCCTGCAGTGGGAGAAGGAAAAATCTCAGGCTGCTTTGGTCAAAGTTCAGCAAGACCTGGAGAACCAAAGACAGCTCTGGATCCAGGAAAAATCCAGGCTCCTGACAGAGCAGCAGAAGACTGTCAGAGATGTAGAAGCCACTATGAAAGATGTTCAGGAGGTACTGCACAATGAGAGGCAGCAGTGGCAAACGGCGACGGACAATTTTCAGCAGAAAACTGTCAGGAAGTCCTGCTTTCTAGAGAGCCTCGCATCAACAGAGGAGTCTCTGAAAGAGATGGATGAGGAGAGAAAAACCTCTACAGAGAGCCTGGTGGAAGAACTGAAACAACTGCAACAGGAGATGGACAATTTTCAAGAAAAACCCAAAAAGAAATCTTAAAAAAAAAAGAATTCTAAAGGTCTTCAGAGGCTCTACAAAGGCTGCACCTCACTCAGAAAACTGACCACAGCTTAACCTGCAGAAACCCTCCTTCAACCAAACCATCACACTGACAAAATAGTTCCTGAAGCCCAACTCCCCAACTGTAACCTTAACCCCTCCATTAGCATTACCAGCTAATAACCCTTCTCAGAAACCTTCATCTCTCCACCTTCAACCCTGAACTTGCCCAACCCAAATATGGACACGCTTCATCTATAAGAGCCAGAAGGTGTTTTTCTTGCAATGCTTTCTCCAAGAACCTTTCAATGGACCCTGGCCAATCCTTGTGTTCATTCACAAGAGGTGATATGGGACCTGACTGTTTGTTCACATGATTAAACTCACTTCAACTTCAACAAATGTTTAGGATATTCACAACTGTTTGACTGAAAGAGAGAAGTCTCCAGAAGCAGATGGACCCACCTCCCCACATTAATGTCTACTGATCCATGGGACGGAAGCGGTTTTTATCTCTGCCTCAGAACACAAAGATCACTTTGAATGAAGAATGTTCCTCAAGTTTCCCACTGAAGGCTGGAAACAGATCAATCAACCATTCAATGCAAAATGTATAGAAATGTATAAATGTATTTTATTCCTTGTACCCTTCAATAATAATAAAATAAAAAATACAAAAAAACAAACAAACATAATAATCCTGCCTCCAGGGTCCACAGCTCTGTGTGCTCCTGGAGCTGGTCCCAAGCCCAGATCAAAGGAGAGGGTTATGTCTTGAACAGAATGAGTACTCCTGGGTCAAATCTGTTGATTATTTTCCACAAATAGAAAATAAAACTGGTTTAAAAATCTAAAATATCAATTTAATTTTCCTATCTTGAACATTTAATGCTCAGACATTCTTATCAATTAGAATAAAAAAAGAACATAAATATGTTGCCT